TTTTTTTTTTTTGAAGTTCAGCTGAAGGATTAGTGACATAACATTTTATTGTTTGCTGGTCACGATGTAGTGTATTTTCTTTTTTACCATATTTTCACATCAGCGTACTTCTTTTCAATATAAAGATTATGAAAAAATTTAAAATAAGTATAGTTGATTTCCGAGAAAATTTCTTTAGGTTAGCTACAGGATAATATCTTCTTTTCACATGTATGGCTCATATTCTTGTTTGTTCGGTACTTATAGTCCTACTTAATCTGAAGAAGAAAGTATAATAAAACAAATAGTTGAAAATGGAATATTAAAACGGTAATTGTACTCAGAACTCAGCTTATTCGACATTTTTTTAAGTTTTCGCGTCGGGGGCACAGCTTCGACTACAGTTTCCAGCCATTTCGGTGTAGTGCTTAAAGAAACGCAACTGTTTTTTGATTAAACCCTTTCGGCTCGAGCAGGTTGTTTTCTTTATAATGGCTTTATACATATCACATTTCGCCTGGTATTTTTAAATTTTTCATATGATCGGCTTTCGCTTCTGCCAATTTATAATAATGGATAACTTCCATTAAATCCTTATTAATTTCTATTGATTATGCACTGTTTATAATTAAAATTGCCTATACTTAATAACTTACAATTTCAGGCACAATTCCTGTTCGCATAGTGCACTTTTGTTTCTTGGCGGCAGTTGATAAAAGATTATGATTATGTACTTCTATTGACAAATACTATATATGCTTTTATTGAATGATGACAATAATATCAATAAAATCGTAATGTTCTAATAAACACTTGCTATGTGTTGTCGATTATTTCGCCCACAAGTAGTTAAACTAGAGGCTTCAAAATGAAAAGAATAGTGACATAAAGACATCTTTACAGTTTTTCTTATGGAACTAAAAAACCAAAGATTTGACTTTAGTAGTATATCCTTATTCTCTGAAGATTAACTAAGCCAACAGCAGTTATTATTACGTATAATACGCACCTTGTATTAGGACAATAAAACACATGCTCACTGGAGGAGTTGTTTCCGCAAAATCCCTCTTCGTTTTCTAAGAAAGAAAGCGGCAAACCACATTGTCAACAATCTTGTATAGACCCTTAAGAGTTCAAGGTAAGACAAACAATTCGCCCTTTTTTTTTGGTATGTTGAACAGAGATGGACTAAGCCAATGGATTTGTGGCTTATATGTCCAAATAATAAATTGTTGTAATTTTTAGTCACGATTATGTATAAAACGTAACAAAAAAAAAAAAAAAGAGCGGCCGTAATAACTGGAGTGAGCATGTTACATGTAATTATATGTGTGTGTGTAGGAGTGCTTGTTGAGTTCTTGAAAGTCAGACAGTGTTGCAAACTTTCGCTGAAAACGAAAAGGAATGTTATGGTAATTGAAAATGATTGAACGCAAAAACAAAAGAAAAAAAAAAAAAAAAAAAGGGAAGAGGAAGAGGAAGAGGAAGAAAAATTCTAAAAGGATAAATTGGCTTTTCTAATAAAGCAAGTTAGTTCCCCGAGATGACGTACATTTTTTGCTGCAAAGAGATCGAGGAGACAGCCATATAACTTGAAGAAGCTAAAGGAATCTCTAATGCCATCAAACCTGTGACATCTGAAGATTAGATGCTCAACAGACTCAACAACATTGCAAACTTCACAAACATCACATGGTATAGCGCGAATCATTTTTAAATAAACTTTGCCATAAGTGTGACCACTCATGAGTCTATAAAGAATTTTGATTTCCCAGGAATTAAAAGAAGATACAGAGAAGGGTTTGAATTGAAATGTGGGATTTAATTTATAGAAAAGACGATTGGATTTAACGCGCGCGATTACTTGAAATTCGTCGTTTAGCTGTTGAAGGATGTGGTTGCGAATTGCCCGAATTGCTTCATTGGGAGTATATTTGATGGACAAAATTGTCCCATCAACACGAGCTCTCCCTGCATGAAAGTCGGCTTTTACATTTAAAAAAAAGCCGCAGTGGCCAGGTACCCAAACGAGGTGACTGTCATTCACTTGAGATTCGTTCAACGTCTTGTAAATGTCAAACACATATTGATTTTCTGCATCTCTTTTATTTATTAGAAGTAGAGCTGACCTGCTGTCGGAAAAAATAACAAAACGTCTGATACCATCGGAGATAGCAACCTTGAAAGCATGTCGAATGGCGAGCAACTCAATAAAAGTAGAGGAAAGTTCCTCTTCCATTTTGACTCGAAGTATTGTTTCAGATAGATGTTTCACGACCGAGAAGCCAGATACATTATGTCCGACGGAACCGTCAGTGGCATATATATCATATACGTTGTTGTAATAAAAAAGGAGCTTTTCTTGGCATAACAACCTTATACAAGAGAAGTTGACATTTTGTTTTGAGGTAGAGATCGATTCGAGAATGTTCATGAAGACTTTGCATTTGCTGGTAATGAAAATCAAGGGGGGAATTGAATCTAACTTATCAAAAATATGACGAAGTTTTTGATAGCAAAAAGTAAAGCTGCAAGTGACAGTATCACTGAGAGATATAATTTACTGAAAAAAGGAAGGATTTATCATCTTGACTTTAATTAACTCCTTCGCAGTGCAAAAAAGGGCTCTTTCGGAAACTGGCCATTCACCAGATATAACATTGAGAATATATTGCGGAGTTGAGGGGGTCAGTCCAGTACAACGCTTCAACATTCGGTTTTCAAATGCTTGTATACGTTTTTCAATATATTTTGGAAAATTGCAACATGTGGAATGTCCAAATTCAATTTTGGACCTGACTACAGATTTGTAAACGGTCAAAGCATTTTTGGGAGGCAAGCCTGCCTGATTGTTTGTCATGAGTTTAATGATGTTGCATCCAGACTGACAATCTTTGAACGCCTTTTCATAATGCCCACGAAGGGTTAAGCTGTCATTTAAAATTCATCGAAGAAATCGAGGAGATTTTACCTGATTAACTTGGGTACCTTTGATGAGAAGTCTGATTTCACGTTTAGAATCTTTGGCAAAATAAATAGTGTTTGCCTTGCTGGGGTTAAAATATAAA